AAAAAAATTAGGATTCCATATTAGAATTGTGTTAATAATTGCATGAAAATCCAAATGTTTAGTTGAGCCTATATACGTTCTAGTGCATTTGTGGCTTCCTTATTTCAGTGAAATCATGAGACAAAAACACGACCTTGCTCAGCCTGAGGGATGCAATATGTTTAGCAGCCTAAACCTGAAATGTATCCAGGGAAATTTTTATCATTAGCCAATAAAGGTTGAGATTGAGCACCCCTGCTTAAGCATGTAGGGTTTTGAGTGAAAAAAAAGTGAGTTACATGTAAAAAAAAAAGAGAGAATTACAAGAAAAATTTTAAGAATTTTTGAGCAAATGAAGTGAAGATCTAAAGATCAAAATTCCAAGAAATCAAAAAAAAATTGAAGAAGCCAAAAGTCAATACAAGTTGGTGAATTCAAAGATATCAAAGATCAAATTATCAAGGAAGTGAAGAATTCAAAGAATTCCATAGTGGTATCGAAAAGTTGTAATTCTAGAATATGTATGCTTGGGTTGCTCAGTTAAAAATACCTTGAGGGTAAAGAGGTTTTCTGAGGATGGATCGGAGGGTTGCATAAAATGAGCATAGTTCGGGGTGAGTGGGCGAATGTTTATGAGGATTGTGAGTATTTGGAATATGGGGGGTCTTTAGGAAACATTTTAGACACAAATGCATGCATTGCGGTCTTGGCATAATGGCTGGGTTAGATTGGAGTTATTATATATGATTCTAATGTGTTAAAATTCAGTTTTGCTTGAGGGCAAGCAAAAGACAAGTGTGGGGTATTTTGATATGTGCATATTTAGTGTGTATTAAGTGTAGTTTTTTATTCATATATTAGCTAAATTGTTGCATATTATGGACAAAAGGTACTTAAAAGTGTTAAATTATGTTTTTCAGTCCAAAGATGAAGCTCGGAAGCGAAAGGAAGCAAGAGAAGCGGTTAGGAGCTCAAGAGTGGAATGAAGAAGGAAAAAACCTAGAAAAGGCTTCTACTCGTGAGTCGGGCATGGACTCGACGATTCCGGTCGCGGAATCAGAAGGATAATGATTCGGAAGTCAAGATAGTTATCGCAATACGAAGAATGTGAGAGGGACTCGACGAGTCACCATATGACTCGACGAGTCGGAACGCATATTTAAAGATAACTCCACAAATCGAGAAGGGAGAATTCTGGGAAGTTTCAGAAGTGCTTAGTGCGAATAAGAAGCCAGAAGAACCCTAGAAGTCGACCAAGGAAGCTAGAATCCAATTCCGGGAATAATTAAGGCATAATTTCATCATTCTACTTATTTCTTTTGTTTTGTCAAAAGCAACTTGAACATATTTGTTTGCTGTTATTTACCTTAGTTATGAACTAAATTCTTTAGACTTCTGTTTGGGAATACAAAGTTGACAATATGGTTTGATTAATTGGTATGATTAATTCCAAGTTGGTGAATTATTGTTACTTTAGCTTGCTAAAGAACCTTGTGTATGAATGATAATTTTCTGTTAATAGGAAGATAATTGATTAGCATGAACATCTATTGATTATCAACCTCATATGATATGTGACCACTATACCATATGTCTAGAATTAATGAATATGAAACTAGGATTAATAAGGAAATTGAGTAAATTCATGTGCAAGCTTGTAAGATGACCATCAAACAAGAGGTTAATTAAGAATAATGAATTAATTAGCTATTGCAAGTCTAACTTAACCCGAATAATTAATCTAGTAAATATAATTAAATTAAGCAATTGGCCACTGTTTGAATTAGTTTATTTGCTAAGGATTAGGGTAGTGAACACAAACCTAATCACTTGAATCGGTAACCAACGAAAGAATTAATCCATTGCACTATTACCTTAAAATCAACCATAAAGTTAACCGAGTTGAACTAAACAGAAGTTCCTTTCCCATTATTGAATCTAGTTAAATTGTCATTTTCTAGTCTTAAATTAGTTTTAGTTAGTAAGTTTCTAGTCTTGTAAAACTAGAGAAAAACCCCTTTTTGCTTAATCAACTTAGATAGAATTAGTTTTTAATTTAATTTGTCGTTCCCTATGTTCGATACCCTGCTTATTTAGCTATACCACAATTGATAGTTCACTGCCTTTTGTGTGTTATTTGATAATTAAAGTAGGATTAAAACTAAGTGAGTTTTACGCACATCATAGTTCCAAGGATTAGATTGATACGAGACTCAATTTAGCATTTGAGAGGAATTCTCGGGAGCTTTTAAGGAATACTACAGTTTTCGGGGACGCTCTGGAGGTCTTTAACTTCTTGTTTCTCGGTGATTGCATGGACTAGGAATACCTGATACTCCTTTTTGCATAAGTTTTTCGATCTTTGATACAGAAAATGATGCGAAGATGTGGGCTAGGTTTGACATCATATATCATGCAGGTTCGGTCAGAGAGGAAATTGAGATGAATAGCTTTTTCATAATAAAGTGTATCAGTATGATCAGGACTCAACTGGTACATGCCAAAGATAACATCAAAGCTCTTTATTGAAAATGACATCAGATCAATGAGGAAAGAATGATTACTCAATGTAGGGATATAGCTTAAGGATAAGTCGTTAGTGCACTCATTCTCACTGGTAACCATTTTGACGGCAAATGTTTCGGTTATTAGACGAGGACTATGTTTACGAAGATAATTGAATGAATGACTAATAATTTTTTTTTGACACTCGATTCGAAAAGAATGCGAGCATAAGAATTGTCTAAAAGAAATATACCCGCGGCGGTGGTGGGATCAGCAGCTGCCTCCTCTTGCTTCACAGCTAAAACTATCTCGGCGTTGCTAACGTTGTTAGTGGTTGTTTCTTTTGGGCAGTTTCGCTTGAAATGCCCGACCTTTCCACAACCATAGCAGGCTCGAACAATACTCGATCCATAAGCTTGATTGATTAGACGAACTGGTGTTCTGCAGGTTCGAGCGGAGTGGCCCTTTTTGCCACATCTTTTGCAGATTAACTCACGACATGGGTCAGGGATACGATGGTGATAACTGCACCTGTTGCACCAAGGGTGATTACCAGCATACCCAGTGATAGGTGCTTGAGCTGTAGGTGCAACTACTGGAGTAGCGGTAGCTTGAACTGTAGACACAGCAACAGGAGTAGCGGCAGCTTGAACTGCCATAC